TAATTGGGGCTGCTTTTAAAACTTTGTCAGATAATTCTAACATCTTTATCATCTCATTATTGTCATCTATTGATTGTCTTTTATTCATTTGGTTTGAGATCTTCCTGGTTCTTGGTATGATGAGTGATTTCAATTGAAACCTAGACATTTTTGTATTGTTACGAGGCTCTGGATCTTTGTTAAATCTTCTCTTTTAGCTAGGTTCTTTTATTTTTAACTCCATTCTACAGAGGAAAGGCAAGGTGCTGCCTCATTACTGCCTTGTTACTGCCAGGTGTATTCCACTTCTACCAGTTTCCTCACTCTTTGTTGACACCCAAGGGGAGACGTCACAGGAGAGGCTCCCCATGTGGTCTCTACTGACATTGTGGTAGGGGTGGCCTTATCTGCTGGATGATGGTGGACATCCTAACTCTCTACTAGACTTCTGATACTACTTCAGTGGGAAGGCATTAGGGTACCATGTTACTGTCCAGTGGAAGCTCAGGCTCCCCAAGCAGTCTCCAATGACACTGCAGGAAGCCCTCATTACAGGCCATTAAGGATGAAAGTCCTACCTCTTTACCTGACCTTCTCTGACACCACTCTGGCATTCTACTACAGTGTTAGAAGGGTGGGAATCTAGGACCCCACTCAGCCTTTGTTGACATGGGTGGGATTGGGGGACCACTAATTTCTGTGCTGTTGACTAAAGTAGAGTGATGATTATCTAAAAGTTTTCTGTCTTGCTGGACTGCCCCTTTTCTGGTCCTTTGGCTACACAGAGCAGGCTATTGTTGGGGCTTTTTTGTCTGCATCCCTGGCTTTTCCATGTTGTTGACTTCTTCAGTTTCCAGTCTGGGATATATGAGTCAAAAGAAAACCCAAGGAACTTACCATCATGTCTTTCCTCAGGTTCCAAGGTCCTTAGCTGGCCTGTCTTCTTTCTATCACTCAGAGCCTTCTTATAGTTGTTTTATATATAATGTCAATTATATAATGGTTTCTGGTTGCACTTAGTGGGAGGAATAGGGAAAAGTATGTCTATTTGATCTTTCCAGAAACAGAAGTCCTCTTTAGTTAACTGTAACCAATTCTCTCTGGGGGAGTTTGAACTGTGTTGCTACGTTCCCATTTACTGACTAAGGGCCCACTCCAAACAACCCAACTGGAGCCATGGCCCTGCTACTGGGCTAAATTTGAGTACTGGCATTTCCTGGAACCTAAATAAAATATTAGCCCACATATTCCAGCAACATATCAAAAGAATATTTTTTTTGTTGGGGTGCCTGAGTGGCTCAGTCATTAAGCATCTGCCTTCGGCTCAGGTCATGATCCCGGGATCCTGGGATCGAGCCCCACATTGGGCTCCCTGCTCCACGGGAAGCCTGCTTCTCCCTCTCCCACTCCCCCTGCTTGTGTTCCCTCTCTCGCTGTGTCTCTCTCTGTCAAATAAATAAATAAAATCTTTAAAAAACAAAGAATATTTTTTTGTTCAAGAAGGGTTAATTCTAAGAATACAGGGATGGTTTGATATTAACAAATCCAATGCTACGACTATATTAATAAGTCAAAGGAGAAATCCACGTGATCACTCCATGAATTCAAAATATGCAATTGACAGAATTCAACATTCTTTCTCTAAAAATTTCCTAATAAAATAGAAATCAATGAATACTCTCTTTAAACAATTGAAAAATAACAGTCCAATTTATAATCGCACCAAAATGAATAAGATACCTAGGAATAAATTTAACCAAGGAGGTGAAAGACATTGATTAAAGAAATTGAAAATGATACAACAAATAGAAAGATATACCATGCTCATGAATTGGAAGAATTAATATTCTTAAAATGTTCATACAACCCAAAGCAATTTACAGATTCAATGCAATCTCTGTCAAAATACCAATAGCATTTTTCACAGAACTAGAACAAATAATCCTAAAATTGGTATGGAACTACAAAAGACCTCAAAGAGTCAAAGCCCAATCTTGAGAAAGTAAACAAAGCTAGACATGGCACAATCCCATATTTCAAGATATATTACAAAGCTAGAGTCATCAAAACAGTATGTACTGACACAAAAATAGACACATAGATCAATGGAACAGATAGAGAGCCCAGAAACAGACCCACATTTATATGATCAATTAATCTATGACAAAGGTGGCAAGAATATACAATGGGGTGAGGCACCTGGGTGGCTCAGTTTTTGAGTGTTTGCTTTCAGCTCGGGTCATGATCTTGGGGTCCTGGGATTGAGCCCCAGTGCAGTTTGGCCTCCTGCTCAGCACGGAGTCAGCTTCTCCCTCTGCCCCTCCCCCTACTTGTGCACTCTCTCTCTCTGTCTCTCTCTCTCTCTCTCACTCTGTGTCTCAAATAAATAAATAAATAACTTAAAAAAAAGAATATACAATGGGGAAATGACAGTCTTTTCAATAAATGGTGTTGGGAAAACTGGACAGCTACATGCAAAAGAATTAAACTAGACCATTCTCTTACACCATACACAAAAATAAACTCAAAATGGATTAAAGACCTAAATGTGAGGCCTAAAACCATCAAACTCCTAAAAGAAAACATAGGTAATTTCTTACAGTAATCTCTTGGACACTGGCCTTAGCAACATATTTATGGATATGTCTCCTCAGGCAAGGGAAACAAAAGCAAAAATAAACTACGCGGACTATATCAAAATAAAACTCTTCGGCACAGCAAAGGAAACTATCAACAAAACAAAAGGCAACCTACTGAATGGAAGAAGACATTTGTAAATGATATATTCATAAGGAGTTAATATCTAAAATATATAAAGAGGGGCGCCTGGGTGGCTCAGTCGTTAAGCGTCTGCCTTCGGCTCAGGTCATGATCCCAGGGTCCTGGGATCGAGCCCTGCATCAGGCTCCCTGCTCCGCGGGAAGCCTGCTTCTCCCTCTCCCATTCCCCCTGCTTGTGTTTCCTCTCTCACTGTCTCTCTCTGTCAAATAAATAAATAAATAAAATCTTTAAAAAAATAAAAAAATAAAATAAAATATATAAAGAACTTGTATAACTCTACATCAAAAAAAATCTGATTAAAAAATAGGCAGAGGACATGAATAGACATTTTTCTAAAGAAGACATGCAGATGGCCTATAGGCACATGAAAGATGCTCAAAACACTAATCATCAGGGATATGCAAATCAAAACCACAATGAGATATCACCTCACACCTGTCAGAATGGCTAAAATAAAAAGCACAAGAAACAAGTGTTAGAGAGGAAGTAGAGAAAAGGGAACCCTCGTGCAGTGTTGGTGAGAATGTAAATTGGTGCAGCCACTATGGAAAACAGTAGGGAGGTTCCTTAAAAAATTAAAAATAAGACTACCATTTGATCCAGTAATCACACTACTGGGTATTTACTCAAAGAATACAAAAACACTAATTCCAAGGGATATATGCACTCCTATGTTTATCGCAGCATTATTTACAATAGACAAACTATGGAAGCAGCTCAAGCGTCCATCCCTAGATGAATGAATATTCCATATAAAAAAGAATGAAATCCTGCCATTTGTGACAACATGGATGAACCTAGAGGGTATTATGCTAAGTGAAATAAGTCAAACGGAGGAAGATAAATACCATATGTTTTCACTCATTTGGGGAATCTAAAAAGCAAAATTAACAACAACAACAAAAAGGACTCTTTTTTTTTTTTTTTTTTAAATAGGCTCCAGGCCCAGTGAGGAGCCCAACATGGGGCTTGAACTCACGACCCTGAGATCAAGACATGAGCTAAGATCAAGAGTTGAACACTTAATTGACTGAGCTACCCAGATGCCCCCCAAAAACAGACTCTTAACTATAGAGAATAAACTGGTGGTTGCCAGGGAGGAGGTAGATGGGGGAAGAGGTGAAACAGATGATGGGGTTTAAGAGGTATAAAACAAACAAGCAGATATCTCTAATCAAGTCAGCATCACACTTGATAGTGAAACATGAAAATCTTTCCCATTAAAATTTGGTTGTCCATAATCACCTTTATCATTTAACTTTGGTCTGGGAATACTAGCCAATAAAACATACATAAATAGGATATAAGTAAAAATTTATGACAAGACCATACTCTTATTTCATGTCCTTCCACCACATTGTTTTCCCTTGAAGTTGACACTAACCAGGATCGCTTAGTCCATTTCAAACCTCAACAGTTTTTCTAGCTTTCTTTCCTTCCCCTTGATTCAGCATTTGACTGACAGGAGTTATGATCAGAATCATGTCTTATATACTTTGTATTCCTAATACTAGGTAGTAGTCAGGTAGCAGGTCCTCAGTGAATATTTTCAGATTAAGAATCCAAAATGTGATATTAAAAATTAAATTAAGAAATATATGTTAACAAAATATACCATTGAAGTGTAAATCAGTAATTTTATCTTAAGTTTGTTCAGAACCTAGTGCTTTGTGACTACACAGTAAGTATTTGACTCATCAATTTTTGTGATGAGATCAAAATAGCATATCCTGGAATACTCAATATTTAATTGGAATTTGGTTAAATCATAATCATTTTTATATGTAAGACCCTCAGCTAAAAATTCCTCTGCATATTCTAAAATATTCCCAAAATTTGATAAGACTTAATGCAATCAAAGTGAGGCTAGAGGAACCTGAAAAATCACATTAGTACTCAACTATGCTTTCACTTTGTAACTGTCACTCTCACTTTTAACTTGCCACACAGCTATTGACCTGAGAACAGAATATACACTTGCCCTGTCACTCACTCCTATTGTTTCTAAATTGAGCTGAAACTTGTATACAGTAGGTTAACCAAAAGATTCATTTTCTAAGTTGATGTACTTCAATTAATTGGTCCTTCTCCACAGGAGATTTGCAGTGTAGCCCATGCACCCCTGACGCTCCAAGAACTAAGTGACAATAAATACTAAGTTAAGTCCTGCACCTGATCTGAGGTCCCTTGACCAAAGTCAAATATGAAAAAAAGGACAAAATATCAAGTTTAATGTTTACCTCTGTTCCCGAGTGTTGATCCCTAATAACATCCATCTGTCTCTTAAAAAGTTCTAATACAGCCTTGTAGACCAGTTCATACTGTTCCTGAAGAGCATCACAAACCGAAACAAATGAAAACAAACAAGAAACTTGGTGAACCACAGAACCAGAGTTTAGGAGTGTGAACATCAGTCAAATCCTAGTATAGCAGACCTGAAAAGACCATAGACAGTAATTTAATCGTAGTGCCTGAGGGCGCTACGCAAAATTAGCCTAGCCCATTTAGGACTGCAAAGCACTTCAAGGCTACTAGAAACAGCTAAATATTTGATCTTCTACCTCTAAATATACAAGGGCCTTCCAGCATGTTTTATGTTTTGATCCCACTTACCCTTCCCTCCACCATCAACCCTCCAATTCCATTTTCCTGGCTCACATTTTAAACATTCTATCTGATCCTGGATGCATTTTTTGGTCAGGCACCTTCATCTTTTCTGGAAAAATGGAGATAGATTGTGGTCGATGGGTAGATAGATAGCTTCAATATGTATTCTTCACTTGACCCTGACAATTGATCTCTAAAGTAGGTAGGCTATTATCCCTGTTTACATTTTGTGCAAGGTCGTTCAGCAGTGATTTCCAGACTTGGATTCGAACCTGAATCTCCCCTTAGTTTAGTGCGCCTAGATCAAGCCGCTGAAATGCTCTCCTAGCACAGACACCCAAGAAAAGCTGACCACCCAAGAGAGTCTGGAAATTTATGCTTGTAAAAGGATTTCACTGTCTAGAAATGACACCATCACCATTACAAGGTCCTGGGGCGGGGCGGGGCGGAGGGGAGGGAGGAGGGGGGGTTTTGCCACCGGACCTGCTCTAGCACTTGATTTTGGATCTACTTTTCATCTGAAAGAGCCTCAGCGGGGTTTCCCCGGCACTTCACACAATCCTATACAAATAAAGCACAACTTTTGCCAATTATAATTTTAGCAGAACACTACAGAGTCCGTATCACCCAACACATCTGTTGGTACACTCTTCCATTTTTTTAAGAAGAGAGAAAAGTCAGACAGGAAGCGCTCAGCCGGTTACAGTGCTATTTCCTGGTGAGGATGGTGTCAGAAAAAGCAGCGACAACTGGGAAGGGATTTGTTCAGCTAGTTGTTGATAATGTTGATGAACTTGTGAAGGCTAACCGGAAATCGCTTCCTCTGTCTTCCGACCTTTGCAAGGAGGCCGGAAATGGACTTTCTCCGAAGTGGGGTAGGGTTTTATTGATTGATTCAGTGTTACAATGTGATATTAGAAAACTAGGTTGCATACTTCCTGGGGTCTTTCGCCTGCTTTTAAGTCTGGTGGCACTAAACCAGCCAGTGCCTTTATATCACAGAAACTTTTTCCCTCAGGTTGAATATAGAAAACACCTACAGTCGACGCATGAAAAAAAAAGTTTTTTTTCCACTAGCTATTAGTGGAAAACCTGTGTGGGCCAAACAGCAGGCTTATATTACAATAGCTCTTCATTTTTTCCCCTCAATTCACAAATGCCCAATGAAAATACCTAAACTTCCACTGGTGGTTGTTTTACCTCCAAGTCTATGTGCAAGTTCATTTGTAAGTGCTTTAAACACTTCAGGGTCTTGCCATTTAAGCAGGAGAAAGTAGTTCTAACAAATTATGTGAAAGTGTCTGTTACTTATATCAATCAATGCTTAGTGAATGAATGAATGCGGCAAAGCTAAACTCCATCTTAGAGATGGAGACCATTTTTTTTTAGAAATGTGGGTAACATTATTGGTATGGAAATCTGGGTGAAATTGATATTGTAGAGAGTGAGAGATATGTGCTGGGAAAGTTTCACCTAGGCGGTGGGACTTGAGCGGGGGAGGAGAGGACAAAACAGGGGAAGGGCATCCCTAACGGAGCGAACGAGGGTGAGCACTTTGGGGCGGATGAAAATATTGTCATACATATGTAACCGTATATATAGTATGATTCTAATTATGGTTTTTTAAAGTATGCATACAATAAGGATCAGGAGAGACTACAGAACAATAGTAATCGTGGCTACCTCTAGGTGATAGGAGTATGGTTGCTTTTATTTTTATTTTTCATCAAGTCAAAAAATGAGTATACAGACTGCATTCTCCAGATTCTGTTACCACTTCCTGAAGTTGAAATGACAAATCTCTGATTTTTCTCCGGTTTCAGAAGTGAATTACTGCTCTAAAACTTCCAGTTAACCTGACCCAACTATTTCTCTGTAATAAATCAAACAGCTTGTGGAATTTCTTCAACATCCTTTATAAGAAATATTATATTAGTTTCTTAATATTTTCTGCACAGACAGTAAAATACAAGGAATGAGGGGAAAAAAAATACAAGGAATGAGAGGAATTTGACCCAAGGCAAGGGATACAGGCAAAAAATTGATCTATTCAGAGTTCAACGAAATGCCAATGGGCTAGTGAACCTAAGAGTCAATCGGTGTTACAGCTAGGCAGTCAGCTGTTTTGGGTTGTCTTACTATGGAACAGAGAGATGTAGCAAGACTCAGACACATGTTATGATCCATTCACCATAGTTGCATACCTGAGTTTGAACAAATGAAGGCCTTTGTGTTCGCATTTCCTGGATCAAACTAAAAACACTGAAGTTCTCAGGAAGTATCTATCAAATAAAAGGAAAAAAAAATATCTTACTCCTTTGTTCCTTAGCTTTGTTAATAAATTATTTCTCCTAGTCTTGTCACTCCCATGATATCTGCTCTCTTAACAGAAGATAATATCCGAAAAAGAATGCATTTTTAAAATGAATGAGATTTCTCATCACTTGCATCGTGATTTAGAGCCTGGTATTTTCCCCAGAAAAGATTGAAGAAACTCTTGAGAATGATTTCACATGGGGTCATCAAATGTTTGAAGTTAAAACCTATAATGAGGCAGAAGGCTCGAGTAGATGAGCAAGTATGAGAATTTCATGAAATAAAAGAAGTTGGCAGATATATTTCAAACTTCCCACTTCCTATTAGACTATAAAAAATGACTTAGAGATCGGAACACAAGGTTTGATTGTGGTAAATTGAGTCCAGCCACTAAAGTAGTTTGGATAAAGGAAGGGTAACTGTGGAATTTAGGGCAGTGATTCTCAAACTACAGCATGCATCAGAAGCACCTGGAGAGCTTGCTGCCCGCCCTCTCCTCCCTTCCACCTCCAGAGTTTCTGCTTCAGTCCATCCAAGGCAGGGCCCAAGGTTTTGCATTTCTAACAAGTTCTCAGGTGATGCCAATGCTGCTTGTTTGGGAACCACACTTTGAGAACCACCCACCTAGGGCCTAATTTAATCATCTGACAAAGCGGGTCTACAGTGAATACTCTAGAAAAGATGAGTCATGGAGATAGATGTTTGGAAGAACCAAACAATTCCTAAGTCTGAAAGTAACAGGGTAAGCAGACAGGAAGTGCCTGAGGAGAAAAACTCACCCCATCTTTTAGCAACATCCAGGTATAATCAATAGCACAGATAACACCAGTCCTTCCACAGCCGGCACTGAAATGAAAGATCATAGGAGCACATATAGTTGCAGAGGGTGGATCATCGACGGTAGCTGGGAAATATCACCAGCAGATTGAGGAAGAAGGAACCTAGAGGCAATGAAACGTTCCAACCCCTCCCCCCCATTTCCTAGAGCATGTTTGTCAGTTGCCACATGCCCACACCAAACCTCAGGACAGATCCTAGGTGACTTCTCTAAGCAAGAGTCTCTAGAGCTGTACTGTTTCCAAGTAACTTGTCAGAAAATACTAATTTAATGCTTTAATTCAATAATTTAATATTAATTAAATGCTTGAATTTATTATAGTTTGTTTTTGCTATGGACCTTGCTCTTTCAATCACTCTCATTTCTTTTTTTTATAAAGATTTTATTTATTTATTTGAGAGAATGAGAGAGAGAGAGAGAGAGCACATGAGAGGGGGGAGGGTCAGAGGGAGCAGCAGACTCACCGCTGAGGAGGGAGCCCGACGTGGGACTCTATCCCGGGACTCCAGGATCATGACCTGAGCCGAAGGCAGTCACTCAACCAACTGAGCCACCCAGGCGCCCACAATCACTCTCATTTCTAAGTTTTGTTCCTTTCTAATCAACTGGAAAAAGCGAAACTAGGGCCAGGAGCCTACATCCTATTTGCTTCTACCGCCTTAAATTCCAACAGAGTCTGTCTTCCTTCGGGTACGGCCGGAGTCCTGGCCAGACTGTGATACTTGGTTTGTTTGGGGTGGAAGGTACATAGAACAGCATTATACCTGCAGTGAATGCATATGGGAACACTGTCGTCCTCTTGGTAAGAACGCACATCCCAGATGAGCTCAAGAATAGGGTCTATGGATGAAGGCACATCATGGTCTGGCCAATTCTTGTAATGAAACTGGTAGATAGTTCGAGTTTCCTATAAAAGAAAAAATAGCCAGAATGAAAGGAGAGGTCAGTGTTAGGACCCCACCTCATTCTACCACAAGATTACTCTGACTTCCTAAGTAGCATCTCTGTCCTGTTGGCAATTTATGCTGCTTTTTTCTCTATAGGCCTCTGGGGACCACATGCCATCTGAGAACACTGACTATTGGTCTGTCCCTCTTTGCCCCACTCACAAGAGGTGGTAGATATTAAGATAGTCCAAACCAGAGCTTCCCAACTGGTGTGCTTCACCGGTTCAAGTGGGTCACAGGCATGCTGATCTATTAAACCCCTTTGCCATAGAGAGACGGGGCAATGCGAGCTCTCAAGTTGGTTCTCAGCCTCTGTTCACTGCACAGCCTCTATTCATCCTACAAACATTATCATTCTATAGGTGCGCCATGGTGTGTAACAGATTGGGAAAGTAGGGATTATACCAAAGGTCTCTTTTGCATGTGAAGATTTATCCAGAACATCAAAGGCCCCACCGCTCCCCATTGTCTTGTGCCCAGCCCAAGTCACATACATATGTATTTGCCTCTGTGGGCTCTTGAGTTTAGCACTCGGGTTTATACTTACACTATTGAACTTGGCTTTTAGAGTCCTGATTATGTAATCAGATTTTCTATTTTCAGCTTCCTAAGAAGTAAATTCAAATATTAGTTATTTCAAAAACTAATGTTCAAAAACTAGTCTCTATAAAGTAGAACCTGGAGCATCTGTTCGGCCATAACGGAAGCAGGCATCATACTCACACAGGATATGGAGAAAGGGCCAACTTGCCGCGGTAGCTCTCCTGGCTCAGTCCAGTAACGCTCACACTTTTTCTGTTGCACAAAGCAGAATGTCATGACTCCCCTCCAGATACTCTAGTCTCTTCTGGGTAGCAAAACCCACTTCCTCATTCAGAAGCAAATTTAGCTCTGTGTCCTTCACCTTAGGTTAGGACGATCTAACCCCCGGGGGCTTCAACCCCAACATCGTGGTCTGGAATCTCCAAGGACGGGAAAAACACTAAAGGATATGTAAATTACAGACTTCCTAGAAGTCTGAAGAAGTAGAAATGGGGATCTGACATTTTGAGTACAGTAGTCCCCCCTTATCCACAGCTTTGCTTTCCATGTTACCCATGGTCAACCACAGTCTTTCAGTTGCCTATAGTCCAGGATGTATTGTTGGAAGGTCAGTAGTAGCCTAACCCTACATCACACCTATGTCATTGCCCTCACTTCATCACATCATGTAGACATCTGATCTTCTCACATCATCATCATCAGAAGGGTGAGTATAGTACAATAAGATATTTTGAGAAAAAGAGATCACATTCACATAACATATAGTATATTGTTATAATTGTTCTATTTTCGTATTGTCGTTAACTCCTACTGTGTCTAATTCACAAATTACACTTTACCATAGGTATGTGTGCATAGAAAAAAACAGTGTATATAGAGTTTGGAACTATCCACACTGTCAGGTATCCACTGGGCGTCTTGGAGTCTATCCCACATGAATAAGGGGGGACTACTGTATTTCAAAAGGATTAACAGAAATCATGTCTACTAAAGCAAAGCTGCACAAGCTAAGTGATAGCTTGTTTTTGTTGTTGTTGTTAAAGATTTTATTTATTTGAGAGAGAGTACAACAGGGGGCGGGGAGGGCATAGGGAGAGGGACAAGCAGACTCCCCGCTGAGCAGGAAGCCTGAGACTGGACTGCATAGGGGCTCCATCCCAGGACCCTGAGATCATGACCTGAGCCGAAAGCAGATGCTTAATCAACTGAGCCACCCAGGCGCCCCTGAAAGCTTGGTTTTAACTGGAATTATGAGTGTCTCATAACAGTAAGTTAAGAAGAGTACTATTCAATAGAAATGTAATGTGAGCTACCCATGAAGTTTTAAGTTTACTAATAGCCCCATTCAAAAATGAAAAAAAATGAGATTGATTTTAATAATACACCTTAGCCCAGTATATAAAAAAAAAACCACATGTAATCAATATAAAACAGATATTCTGTATTTGACATTTCTTATCTCGGTCTTCAAAACCCAGGGTGTGTTTTATATTTACAGCACACCTCAATACCCTAAATTGCCATTGGAAACATTTTATTTCCATTTAGAGTTCATCAAATGTATAGTTGAGAAAGATTCATGTACCCAAGTTGTTCAAAACACAAAATTTTCCAAACACTGAATTGGAAAACCAAGTTTTTAAATTTAAACTCACTAAAATAAAATGAAATAAAATTGAGTTCCCTGAAACTAGCCATGTTTCAAGCGCCCATAGCCACATGTGACTAGTGGATGTCATGTTGGACAGCATGGGGTTAGAAGTGCTTACTGCCAGCTAAAGATGCCCAATTAATGAAAGTGGGAAAATGAATCGTTACTTTAAAAACAGATCTTATCTTTACTTTAAAATAGAGAGTCTACTGAGAAAGTGGACAAAAGGAGTTCTTAGGGGTAAAAAAGCCTTGAGAGTAAATCATTTAGCATTCCCAAACTGACAGCTAGCAAGCTGAGAATAATTTTTAAGTAGGCACACTTAAGGAAAGTTCTGCGACCAAATCTCCCCCTTCTCTTTCCTTTATCTTTAGGTCCACTGGAAGGCGACTCACCTTCCCCATCTCAAACTCCATGCATGCCATAACAATGATCTGAGGGGATGAAATAGATAGAGCATTGATGTAGTTAGAAAGAGCAGTTAATACATGGGTCCCAGAGTCATTGTTTTTTTTTTTCCTTCTGTTTTGTTTGTTCTTTAACCCCCAAAAGAAATATTTTGGTAAGTGATAAAATGTTGCTCCTACCCTTCTTTCTGTCCTTACTTCCCTTTACTCTATTCAAATCAGTAAATTCTTGTTAACAAATGAACCTGTCAAGATATGAACTTTCATTTCCTTGAATAAGGGTGACATTGTGATTTTGGCAAAAATTTGCCTGAACACTGAAATTCTAACGACTGACCCCAAAGGGCACCAATTTTAATGCAGAGGAAACCTCAGTCACATATGCTGACACCCTCCCCGACAGCTACAGAATAGAGTAACAAAAGCAACTCTGCCCTTACCAGGACACTGTATTCCCAGATCATCCTCCAGAAGTCCAGGAGAGTTGTAGACAAGGGTCCCTGGGTGGCAATATAACCCTTGGGTCCATAAACTCCCTAAAGGGGAACAGAAGTTATATGGGATGACGACAGATAATATCGTCTTCTTCTGGTCTAGTATCCCCTCCACCTTTTTTTTTAGGTACCTAGAGAAATATGGTCTAGTATCCCAACCCCTTTGTTTAGGCACCTAGAGAAGTATAGAATACAGGGTGTACCTTAATGAAGTTGGCATTGATGTAACTGGAATCTTCATCCGAGGTGATCAGGGACAGCTCTACTCGGCTATGATCATCTGTAATACAGGAGACAGACACAATATAACTAAAAGGGCTTGGTCAGAGGGTTTACTGTAAGTCAGGACCTAGCACTGTGAACAGTGGATACTCACAAGTGTTTGCTAAGTGAGTGAGTGAGTGAATGTTCTTTCGCGGTTGTAAGCAGTACAAACTAACTTGTCAAAGCATTGTTCCAGGATTAGGATCAGCAGGCAATGGGTAAAAAGAGATAGGAACGATTGAACCGGGGAAAAGGTGAGGTACAAGTTTACAGGGAGAAATGAAACTTACAGGGCAAGATATCCTTATATCTGTTTTTCTTGATATTCGTGGGCATCTCAGCCACAGTTGTGGGATAGGTTTTGTCTGCCTTGTACTTGGTGGATTGTCTTTTCAGCTTCTGTAATAAAATTCCAAGAATTAAATCCTCCTAGGGCACAAATCTCTAGACAGCTTTCCTCCTTTTCTGCCCAAACAGTCCACTTTTGCAATTTGTAGCATCTTCTAGAACTACCTCCAATTCAGGACAGAGCCCCAGAGCATAAGGTCAGCAGACCTCAGGTTTGGAGAAGTGAAAAGATCACACTGAACAGCAGCTGAGCCACAAATAGCTAAAACCTAGAGGTGAAACTAGTGAATATTTTAAAAGCCAATGTCTTTTTGAAAACAAACTATGTGCTCCACACAAACATCAGATACTAAAAGTGTACCTTCTTTATAGCTGCTACAGGGCTATTTTATGTAAAAATGGAGCTTAGGCCAAATAAAATCTCTCTACATCTAGCAAAATTTCAAAAATTTCAGTCCCGATAGCAGTCTTTGTTTTTTTTTTTTTTTATATGACTCAAACTGCAAGCCCACCCCTCAACCAAACAATATCTAAATAGTGTCATATTCTGTTGGTAGAATAAGATCTGGACCAGGCTAGGACTGGCATAATATGGTTCAACAAGATCCTTCAAGGTAATGAAGTAACTCCTTGAAATTACTCCCATTTTCCAATATTCTACTATAGACCAGACTTTCAGATCAGAGAAAATCATAGTCCCTCTGTAGCTCCTTAGGAATCAGCCTAGTCCCAGACTTTGTTTAACTCCCTTATCATTTAAAAAAAAACTGCTTTTGGGCGCCTGGGTGGCTCAGTCGTTAGGCGTCGGCCTTCGGCTCAGGCCATGATCCCAGGGTCCTGGGATCGAGCCCCGCATCGGGCTCCCTGCTCGGCAGGAAGCCTGCTTCTCCCTCTCCCACTCCCCCTGCTTGTGTTCCCTCTCTCCCTGTGTCTCTCTCTGTCAAATAAATAAATAAAATCTTTTTTTAAAAAAATAAAGAAACTGCTTTTAATAGAGCTGAACTTGCGAAGCCTTACTCAATCTGAGAAAGAAAAGGGGGAAACATCTGTGATCGCTGATACATATTTGTTGGATTGAACTACAGAAAATAGTTTATATGATCTACCCACTATTTAATGGTGGATGGATCACGTGAAGAGCATTAACTACTTCCTATAGGTCCGATCCCTCAGGATCTACTCAGTCTTCATTCTCTTTAACTTCCTTTTCGAAATCTCCTCCTCCCTCGGCCCTTACTAGTCCACATTGCCTTGGTTTTCCTCCTCCTTCTCTGCCTTCTCATTCCCACGTCTACTCTTTCTCACTGGCTCTCTGTCCATTTCTGCCTTCCGGTTGTGAGTTCTCCAAAGTTCCAAAGTTAAGTCCTCAACTCTCTGTTCTTCTCTCGCTCTATACCTTCACTCCAGGATACCATATACTCTTAGAGAAGGCATACCAGTGGGAGGGTTTGAAATTTATTTAGCTGATTCAAATTCAATTATAGTTCCAACCCCGATGGGAGAACTCTCAAATTTCTATATAGAGATTTGATTACTAAGTTTCAGACCTGAATTCCTGACCGTATCTTAGACCTTACCACTTCCACATCTTATTAGAGCCTCCAACTTGGCACATTTCAAACTAAAATGAGCATCGTTCCCACTGTCAATGCCGCTGGCATCATCTTTATCCCAGGCAACCACACACTGGAAACCGAGAGTCACTTGTGGTGACTCTGACAATTCCCACCTCTAACTGGGTCAGCAAGTTCAAGTGATTCTTCCCATGCAGTATCTTGCGTCGACCTTCCTTCCTATGTCCACCCCAGGTACCTTAATTCAGACCCTCTACCTTAAAGCTTGAACCGGTCCAGTTGCTTCTTAACTCACCTGCACACTTTTCTGTCTTTCCTTATCCAAATTCATTAAGGGACAATTATGCCAAATTAATCTTACTAAAATATTGCTTTCTTTATCTCTCTCATGCCCAAAACAACTTCAGTGAATCCCCCTTGCTACTGGGAAAGAGCCCAGACTCCTTAGCCAAGTACTTGAGATTCTCCCCAGTGGGATCGCAAGTTAATTTTCCCATATTCCCCACAGTCCTATAATTGTAAGGTGCCTTAAGATTAACTTCCCAGGAGACATAATGTGTGATCCATAAATATTTAATAAATGCAGGGAATGGGAATAAACAAATGACTTCAGATACTTAAAATTCTTTTTATAAATTTTTTTAAGATTTTTTTTTTTTTGTAATTTTTAAGTAATCTCTACACTCAGCGTGGGGCTCAAACTCACAACCCCGAGACCAAGAGTCACATGTTCCAATGACTGAGCCAGGCAGGTGCCCCGGGTACCTAAAATTCTTAACCCGGGCCTAGGTTGTAGTTCTGCGGGATCATACCTCTCTGATTACATGCATTTCCCTGCAGTGACCTCATTGTCTACACACATCCTTGTTTAGCCAATTTAACAGGCTTGCTTTCAGTCTACGTGAATGCTTAACTAGAAAAATATATTTAAGGATATTAGAAAAAAATGTATTTAAGGTTGTCTAATAAAACAAGAAATACTTTTTTTTTTTTTTTAAGGTTTGACTTCTAGTTTCTTCTAAGATTATACAAATTGAGGGGCACCTGGACGGCTCAGTTAGTTAAATATCCGACTCTTGATTTCGGCTCTGGTCATGAGCTCAGAGTCATGAGATCAACCCTGCTTAAGATTCTCTCTGTCCCTCCCCCTTTACCCCTCTCTGCTCCTCGCACATGCAGGCACCCTCTCTCTCTCTCTCTCTCTCTCTCTCTCTCTCTCAAAAAAAAAGATGATACAAATTGATGTCACTATCAATTATGTATAATATCATTTCTTTAAAACTATGGCTTTCCTTTCCTTTTCATAAATGTATATTGGTACTGCTTGTGCATTTCTGAACCTAAATTATGGTCTATTTTGTTCCACGGGGTAAAATAATAAAGAGAAGTAAGGAAATAGAGAAAGAACTTTCCTCGAGTGACTGGCAACAAGAAAAAATAAAAAAGAAGGGGGGTGTCATTTATTGTTGTTTAGTTGCTATACTTCATACAGTGTTTTCACATAATTAGGATGTGTGTCTATCTGTAGGAGTTTACTTAAGGACACTTATAACTATGTCATTTAAAAAAATGGGTGAGGGGAAGGGAGAGCCTAAAACCAAGGTATGATGACACACAGAGAGATTAAAAAAAGGTAGAGAATAGTCGTAGAGAATAGAAATCTGCTCCAATAAATCATCCAAATCCATCCTTAGATTTCAAGATCAGCTCTGGATAACTTGATGAAAAGTTGGGGTCATGAGATGTTTGTTAGCTGGGAGTTCATAACACAAAGAATTCCAAATATCTAGAAGCTAATTAAATTGATACTTTCCAAATAATACATAATCACTAAATTATTATACCACCTCAGAATATAGGAATGTAAGCCTTTTCCACCTGAGGATGACAAATGGGACAGCCGACCAGTGCCTGCTTAGTTGCTGGACCACAAATACCAGCATGTGTTGTTCTAATGACCATTTTTCTGTTTCTAGAGGTAGATCAGACACAGGCGACCTATTACAAAGCAGGTATACAGTCATTTCTTAAATTCTGGTTTCTTACCATGGTTTGAATTCCTGTGGATTTTCAGGATTAGATTTAGGGGGAGAGATGCTGAACTGATAACAATACAGTATGTTTTCACAACAAGATGGATGCCATGGGCTAGTTTGGGAATTTAACTAAGGACGTGCCACAGGCACCTGGGAGACTATAAAAGATTTCCACTCAAGTTACACTGATTTTTCGGCTCTCTCTGCTCTTATGCATCTTTGGAATGATCACTTTTAGGTTGACATTCATTCCAGGGCTGCTGAAAATATGTCAAGTCCTAGAGCTGTTCCTCTTAGAAATCTCCAGAACGGAGCCTGGTGCATACTCTTTGTTACACTGTTTCTACTTGTTTTGCTTTGCTTACTTGTGGAATGCTTTCTGGGGAGAATGCTAGAGGCAAAAAGCCCTTTTTGTAAGATATGCCTCTATTAATTTGGTAAAATGTCACAGATAAAGAGAGAGAGAGAGAGAGAGAGAGAGAGAGAGAGAGTGTGTGTGTGTGTGTGTGTGTGTGTGTGTGTGTATAGGCATGCGCACGTGCGCTTGTAAACTTGTGCCTGTTCAGCCACCTTGACTGCCCCCTTCAACAATAGGACAGGTTGGCTTTTCCTCCCCTACTCGTTCCTCCTGGAGTCCTCCTGCTGAATGACACAGGGAGATGCACTTTTAGCAAAACATCACATAGGAAATGCCTATGGAATTGTTCATCTGGAAAGTGTGAAAGGTTTTTGTTTTTTTCGTTTTGTTTTTAGATATCTTACTTGAGCTCAGATCACTGTTAAGGCCTTTTTTTTATTCCCCTTCTTTCCCTACCAGACCCGCAGGCTCCAACACCCCAAGAGTAAACAAAACAGAGCCGAATTAGGACAGAAGAACGGATACACCTCACCAGAAAAGGAGGAGCTTTGAGAGTAGACAGCAAAAGTGCATAAACGAGAAAGCACAGCCATGGGGGTGAGTTGGGGTTGAGGGAGACAGGATAGATGAAAGGGGGGAGGTACTCCTCTGCCCAGCACAAGATGCGGGGCCGTGCGTTCACTAGAGGCGGCCCGGCGAGAGAAATCGGGCAAAGTTGCTGAGGGGCCAGCATCCCGTCCTGGGCCCTGATCAGTTGGAATGTATGACAAACCAGATTCAGTGTATGCTTGATAAGCTAATAGTACATGCATTTGGTTTATGGTCTATACTACGCTTTAACTTTCAAGACAGGAAAACTGAAGTTCTGGCCATAAGAATAGAAATCAGGACAGAGTCATTAGCATGTTCTTTTCATTGACTAGTAAGCTCATTACTAATAAATGGATTAAGGTCACTCCCAAAAGAGGACAGGAAGAAAAAGAAAGCCCAAGACCATAATATCTTTGCCTTGGAGAACTACATCATTATGCAGAAGACCTAGCCTAAGTTACATTTTGGAGTGGGAGAAAGCAAATATGACGCCCCGGTGCTAGATGAGAGAGGGAGATCAGGTTGGCCATTTCCAGAGCCTCTCAAGGTAGTTCTTCAATGCTTACAACTATAAGTCAGTATGATCTGCTCCAAACCTTCAGTCTAGCTCCAACTAGCCAGCCAAACATATGAGGACTGGGTTGCCATCCACTAGTCAGGTTAAGTGAGTAGGTGGGTAAGCAATAGCCAAAGTGGGGTGAGTAAACCAAGAAGTTCAACTTTTTAGATACTTACAACATGAGGCTATGACAAGACATGTTTGTTGGTGAATGACTGAAAATATGGGACTGGACAGTCCCTAGTGAGAGGCTGGGGATGGATTTGAGAGGAATTCGCTTTAGAAGTGATGCGATATATTTATTCTGGTGGCAGTAGCAAAAAAATTTCACCTTCATGTGCACAAAAGTCAAGAAATGTTGATAAGTCTGTTCAACTGATAGGCTGTTTTGCATAAATGAGTCATTTCAATTGCACAGATGTTTGTGCGCTGGTGATGCCGGAGGCACTGTGTTCCTGACTTCCCTATTAGTATTGTTACTGTAAAAAAATACAGAGCTAGGATACGTCTAGATCTTCTCTGTGGAACTAAAATATACCTTGCCTTCTCTGGTCCTGTCTATGATAAATCTCCAGAAGTTGCTACGCTACCAGTCTGACTTCTAGTGTATTATAAACCAACATTACCGTGGCCTTCATTCAGGACAGGGTATATTCTCTCTATTAGGGCTCATTGAATCCTCCATATGTAATAAATATATCTTTGTATTTGATAAACACAGCATTTACTTTTTCTACAAAAATACCTCATCCCCAAGAAACAGAAAAATCACCCCCCCCGTTTCTCTTTTTGCTTTTTCTTGTTTAGATGGAATCAAGCAACACAAGAGGAAAATTTTAAATATAAATTTCTTAAATAAAAAAGTTATGCATATTCACTGAAGAAATTTTAGAATACTGAGAAGCAAAACAAAATTATTAAAGTTACCTATAATCCCACATTACCCAGAGTTAATCATTCTTAATATTTTATATTACATTCCAATCCTTTATCTATGTGTGTAATAAAGATGGGATCACACTCTATATAGAGATTTGCAACTTGCTCTTTTTACTTACGAATTTGCATTCTACATTTTTAGTGATGGTAGAGTATTTCATTGTATGGGGTGCGACATAAATTACTTAGGCTATTCCTTCATATTATTGCACATTTAAGGTGCTTCAATCTTCCTAAACGATAGTTCTAAACAATATCACTATATGCAGACATTTTTCATTATTTTCTTTAGATAAAACCTATGCAGACATCTTTCATTATTTTCTTTAGATAAATTCTTAGGAGTGGCCAAAGAATTTGCCCACTGTAAAGGCTTTTGATCCATATTATCATATAAATATATCAGAAATGGTATACAAATTTTACCTCTAGAAAGCAATGTATGGAACTGCATATTTCTGAACTCTGACCAACATTAGATTGTAATGTTTTAAGTAACAGGGCCATCTGAAAGGTTAAATGTTGTTGGTGGTATTTTTGTTATTTGTACTTCTATTTGCAATTTCTTCACTCCAAAACGTTTTTTAGGAGGAAGATACACCATAATCAAATTACCCTATCGACATGAAGCCGTGTTCACATTTCCATATTCCCATCCAGTCTTTGTACAAATACATACAGACATCCAATGAGCTCATATGTGTATATTTAGCACAATTTTTTTTTTTAAAGATTTTATTCATTTATTTGACACGGAGAGAGACACAACGAGAGAGGGAACACAAGCAGGGGGAGTGGGAGAGGAAGAAGCAGGCTTCCCGCGGAGCAGGGAGCCCAATGCGGGGCTCGATACCAGGACCCTGAGACCATGACCTGAGCCGAAGACAGACGTTTAAAGACTGAGCCACCCAGGCACCCCTATTTAGCACAATTCTTGACATTTGCTAAGCTTTCACTTTTTATACACAATTCACACTTTTACACATGCTTTCTTTTTTTTTTTTTTAAGATTTTATTTGTTTATTTGACAGAGAGAGAAAGCACAAGCAGGGGGAGCGGCAGGCAGAGGGAGAAGCAGGCTCCCCGCTGAGCTGGGAGCCCAACGCAGGCCTCAGTCCCAGGACCCTGGGAACATGACCTGAGCTGAAGGCAGACGCTTAACCGACTGAACCACCCAGGCACCCCTTACACATGTTTTCTAAATGAAGATGCTTCATACTGCCTCCAATGTAGAAAAGTATATCAAAGGAGTTTTAAACAAAATCGACCAGCATGTGATATACATAACCAAGTCTCGACCCATATTTCATACAATAGCTGAAATGGACATGTCATAAAACCACAATCAGGTGCAGTAATTGGCCAAAGGGAATACCTATTCCTCTGCAAATTGTGATCTATCTGATCAAGAATGCACTGATGGAAGCAGATGGTCCTCATTAAGCCTAGAAGATAAGACATCCAAGCACTGTCACTGTGTTCCCCAGGGCTGGCCAGGAAATAGTAGTGGTCCCCAGCTTGAGGGTTCAGACAAGGAGGTGGAGACCATACCATCACAGGTGAGGCCACCAAAATCACTATGCTCATCAGGCAACTTTCTGATTATAGTTGGCTTCTCATACAAGTTTTTCTCCAAACCATAGAACATGCTGTCGGTCAATGCAAGCTTCTACTCTGACAGTGATTTTTCCTCCCTGAAAAATTAATAAATTGGCATTCTTGTTTCTGGTGAATTTCTTATGTGTTTGCCTAGTCCTGATCAACTCTGGGCATACTGACAAAATTGAATTTTTAGACTAGCAAAACTAAAGCTAAGACACTGGACTGTGGTGATCCAAAATAGTTAATACAATCCTAGGTGACTACGTGACCTTGCTCAGTGCCCTCTGTGATCACAACTCTACAGTAATTGCATATATTCAACCCTGATGGAATTCTTAAACATGATTAGAAAAAAATCAAGACCTGCCTACATATAACAAAACGGATGGATTTTATAAATATAATGTAGAGTGAAAGAAAGAAGACATTAAACACGTACACACACACACACAAATACATAACATGATTGCATTACACAGAGTTCCAAAACAGGTAAAATTAATCTCTACTGTTCAGTGATATATATATATATATACATATATATATATATTGGTCTTAAAGCTATGCAGAAAAACAAAACAATTCACAGAGAAAGGCAAATATCATATGATTTCATTTGCATGGGGAATCTTAAAAGACAAAGCAACATGAAAAAAGAAATAGACTCATAAATATTAAAAAAACAAAAACAAAAACAACTAGTGGTTGCCAGAGGGGAGGGGGTGGGGGGATGGGCAAAATAGGTGAAGGGGATAAAAAATAAATAAAAATCGTAACCATTTCAGGGCAGCATTTACCTCTAATCTGGTGGGGGTTGGGGGCAGCTGTGATCCAGAAGGACACCCAAGGGATTTCCAAGGTGTAGGCAATGTTCTATTTCTCGATCTGAGCGGTGTGTGTATGGGTGCCTGCTTTATCACTTGTTGTTAAATTGCATGTGTGTTTATTTTATTTTTAAAAAGATTTTATTTATTTGAGATAGAGCATGAGCATGAGCTGGGGGAGGGGCAGAGGGAGAGGAAGAAGCAGGCTTCCCGCTGAGCGGGGAGCCCGATGTGGGGCTCGATCCCAGGACCCTGGGATCGTGACCTGAGCAAAGGCAGACACCCAACAATTGAGCCACCCGGGTGCCCCATGTGTATTTTATTTATTTCTTTATTTCTTTGTTTCTTTATTTGTAGTCTCCAGGTACAGAGTGGAGCCCAGATTGGGGCTTGAACTCACCACCTTGAGATCAAGACCTGAGCTGAGATCGAGTCAAATGCTTAACAGACTGAGCCACCCAGGCGCCCCTCATATGTGTGTTTAAAGCACTTTTCTGTGTGTATGTTATATTCTGCCATTTTTTTTAAAGTTTAAAATGTTCAGACCAACGTATAAATTGGGGGCAATAGAGTCAGGGATCCTAAGGAGGGCTAAGAGCACAGGTTTAACAGATGGCTCTTTCAAATCCAAGTTCCACCACTTAATGAACTGCATGACCTCAGGCGAGTTGTCCCTCAGTGTCTACGACTTGCCAAACGTGCTAGTGGCTACGAAGATAAGCAGAACTAAACGTGAGCCTTGTCTTTGCGGAGCTTCCAACTGGTGGGAGAGCAGACATTAACCAAATAATCACACAGAGATGTAAAACTGGAACTGTGGTAAATGCTGTGGAAACCTTAATAAGGCTGGGGGCAAAAAAGAGACGTAAAAAGAAATGCCAGCCGGTGCTAATGAGAATGTATAATAGGAGATTTGATGTATTTTGGGAGGTCAAGGAAGGCTTCTCTGAGAAAATGACCACCAAATTGAGATCTGAATTACGAAGTGTTAACTAGGTAAAGAGGAGTACGAGGGAATATTCAAAGAAAGGGAGGGGCGCCTGGGTGGCTCAGTCATTAAGCATCTGCCTTCTGCTCAGGTCATGGTCCCAGGGTCCTGGGATCGAGCCCTGCATCGGGCTCCTGCTCAGCAGGAAGCCTGCTTCTCCCTCTCCCACTCCCCCTGCTTGTGTTCCCTCTCTCGCTGTCGTCTCTCTCTGTCGGATAAATAAAACCTTAAAAAAAAGAAAGAAAGAAAGGGAACAACATGTGCTCAAAGGCCGTGTGACAGAAGCAGTGTGACAAGGACAAGAAACTCAACCTGCTGTGGGAAGCTGGAGAAGCCCTTGAGGGCTGGTCCATGCAGGACTTTGTTAGCCATTGTAAGGGATTCTTTGGGAAGTAAATGAGGCTCTGTGTGTGAAGCACTTGAGCATAGAGTCTGGAACACAGTTCCATGGATTAGTTATTGTTGAAAGTAGACGAACAGAAAATTTAAAATGAGAAAATGCAGGTAGAAAATAACCATGGAGTATAGAGTTGTGGAATCTCTATGTTGTACACCTAAAACTAATGTAACACTGTGCACCAGTTATACTTTGATTTAAAAAAAAGAATCAGGATAATTTTTGAGGCTCTAAAATCAAATAAATAAAATTAACATAACAAAGTACTATTTTACACTAAATGGCAGCAGGGGTGGGGTGGGGGGAGCATGTTATGATGCAGTGCAGAGGTTAAGGGGGCTCCATCCCAGGAGCCCAGGATCATGACCTGAGCCCAAGGCAGACGCTTAACGACTGAGCCACCCAGGCGCCCCGAGGTTAAAGGCTTTTAATCAGCCCAGTTTCAAATCCTGGCCTTGCCATTTCATGCGTTAAATGAAGATAATGCTTTCCTCTTGGGGTTGTAGTGATTAAGATCATATATGGTAAACCACTTATTGCCTAACATATGGTAAGCAGTCAAAAAGATTTATTTATTTTCTTGTATATATAGTTATTAAGAGTTAGCAAGGTGGTAGACAAGGTGATAAATCCAGATTTTGCAAGTTGGAAAAGCTCTTTGAAAGACACATTTGGCAATACTTAGCCAATTAGATGCTAAGACTCTTGAGCCCGATAATGATACTTTTGGGGATCTAGCCCCAGGATATAATTCAAAAGAAGAGGAAAACCATGTGGACAAGCACATTTATTGCATGCTCTTAATAATCGTGAAAAATTGGGAATAATCTAAACGTCCAAGAAAAGAAAAAATCAAATTACTTGGGTGTCTACCACACGTCAGAAATTTTATGTATTTATTCCATTTTCCTCACAGCAATTCTGCAATGTGAATATTTATTTATTCCCACTTTTTAATGACTTTGTTCAAGGTCACGGAGCTAATGATAGGCAGAACCTAAATTCAAACTCAGGCTTATGACACCAAAGTTGTTATAAATATAGGTGGTACAGCAAGACTACTTGAACTTAAACCTCTGTTCCACGCTTACAAGCTCTCTGACCGTGAGCAAGTCAATGAAGCTGTCTGTTTCCTCATCTAGAAAATGTATAGTACCTTCTTCCATGGATTAAATGACTTGATACATACAAGTGTTCAGAACGGTTTCTATAAGAAATATGAATGTGTTAGCTATTATTATGAGTACTGTTCTTTCATTATACAATGCTGCATCAAAGGCCATAAATACAGACTTTAATTAACAAGATAATTTTGGTATAATGTTAAGTGAAAATATGAGAATACAAAATCGTTATCTACGCTGTCCTTATAACAATGTAAAAGGCAGTATATAAATGGACAAGAACTAGAATTTCCACACCAAAAAGACTGTGTTTGTTGGGATATTGGTACTATGGTGAATTTATTTTCTTTTAACTTGCAATAATATTGTTTTATAAGAATAACAACAATATGGGGCGCCTGGATGGCTCTGTCAATTAAGCGTCCGACTCTTGATTTTGGCTCAGGTCATGATTTCAGGGTCATGAGATTGGGCCCCGAGTCAGGCTCTGTGCTGAGAGGGTAGTCTGCTTGAGATTCTCTCTCTCTCCTTCTCTCTCTGCCCCATTCCCCCTGTACTCTTACTCTCTCTCTCTTAAAAAGAAAGAAAGAAACTCTACTAACTGGGGACTTAGGCTCAGGCTAGGCCCTTTGTGGAACTTGGTGTTACTGGCTGAAGCAAGACACTACTGCATAAGGATTCAATTCACAGGCTCTGAAATGACAGATCCAGGTTAGACTTCATGCCTGTGGCTGAACACTGGCGTGAGCTTAGACCAATCACTTAACTTCTGAGAGCCCCAGTTTTCTCATCTGTAAGTCACAGATCATAACTACCTCATGGGTTTTTTTTTTTAATGAGTAATACATAAGATAATGAATATGCACCCCACCAAGACTATCACAATTCAATATTTACTAGCGTAATTAGCTGTTTAATGTCTCCCTCACTATGCCATTCTCTGATCTTAGGAGATAAGCTCCATCAAAGCATTGCAATTGCATACTGCAGCATCTAGCACAATGCTTTGCACATAGTAAGCGCTCAGTAAACACGTGAATGAATGCATGAAAAGCTTATGGTCGTGGCAGTTTCCACTACACTAAGAGCCACGTTTAGTAGAACTAAACTTCCACTAGTTTTGTGGCAGTTTCTGCTACAGAAAGGTGACTGAATTTAGTGTTGGCACAGGAAAAGTCCTACGCTGCATGGTATTGGCTTTAGCTGGCATAGCAGGGCCATGTGCTCTGTGCACAGATACACAGCCAAGGGGTTGGGGGTGGGGACTGATATCCAAGCCTCTGACCCGGCGGGGGGCAGGGTACACAGATTGCCTCCCTGGAACCAGAGATGACTTTCTATAATTCCCACAAAGGCACCACCATTTAGGCTAGCAGTGGCTTCGTGTCACAGAATTAGTCCTCCAACCTCAAAAACATCAAATCCTGGGAGAATACATTAAAGGGCTTAAGGTGGGATGGGAGACAGGACCATATGGAAAGCCCTTCAAGTTAGTGGCAGTATTGACCCTGTCCAAGCAAGCAACCTAGCCCTGTTCACCACGACCCAACTCCCCCAAAATGAATGTCTCTGGTATCTCAGCTGAACCTTTACGTGAGGCTGAGGACAAGACTCTGTTTTTCCACTGGAGGACATGAGTCAGTGAACAGTGAGGTTCCACTTAATCACCACCCAAAAACAAGGTCCTCAAAACCAAGAGGAGCTAGAAAAGCAAGGAAGTGATTAATATCAAAGTCAGGATAGTGATTATTCCTTGGGCAGGGCAGGGCAGGACACAGTGGGGGTGGGGATGGGAGTGGGGGTGAGGGACCTGCTGGAGAAGCGATTATAGAGGTCTTCTGGAGGCCGAGAATGTTCTAGTCCTTGACCTCGGCGGTGGTGGCTTTATAATTATACATGTTGTCTGTAATTTTCTAACTAGGTATTATACTTCACAATTTCAAGCAGCTGAAAAAAATGTTTTTAAACAGGGGAAACTGACCAGGTTTGTATTATTAGTATTGAAGGGAAAATTGACTGAAGGTGGGGCAAGGCTAGAGGCAGGGAAAACAGGAGGTGAGGTGACCGCCATAATTTGGTGGGAGATTATAATGACTGAGGTAAGAAAAGTACAATATTAAGGATGTAGTCTATATTATTTTTAAAAATGCAACCAAAATAAGACAGAGGTTGGCACTAGCCCCTCAGGTCATTTTTTGCCTCTATGTGTTGGGTGACTCAGGAGTTATAGCCCAGGGGCAGGCACGTGTCTAAACAGGCACATAAGCCAGGACTTTCCCCTTGCCTCCCTCCCTGGTAGCTCTACTCAGAGGGACTCCCTGCCTGGCCAGGGGGGATGAGAGCACATTTTTCACCATTCCACAGTGGCATCCAAGTTGGGTTGACATAGGGGCTTCTGTCGCAACATATAGTCATAACATCTAATCACTCAAAGGCTTTACAGAGTGTTTTCACATCTACTATCTGGTACCAGAATGTTAGGTCCATGAGCACAGAGGTGTTGTCTTGTTCATGGCTGTATCCTCAGGGCCTGGAACTAAACTTAGTACGCAGGAGGTGCTCAATAAATATTACTGAATGAATGAGCACATTTAATTACTACTGATATTTGATCATCACAACAACCCGTGAGGATTGGTAGGCCGTGAATTATCATCCCCATTTTGGAAGTTAGTAAACAAAGACTTGGGGAAATCAAGGAACATGTCAAAGAGTTGACAGTTCGGTTGACAAGAGAATCATGATTTGATTTCAGGTTTTCTGCTTCAGCTCTCTTGTTTTTCCCACTTCTTTGCAGCTGAAAAACCAAGGTTTCAAGTTTTTATAGCCCTGAAACACTGCTGGAAGTGTTCCAAAACACACAATAGGTACTATCAGATATCCCATGTCCTCTGATGCGCTAGGTTATAGACGAACGAGGCCTACCCAGCTGCTGACACATCAGTCACCACAGCCCCCGTAGAGGAGACCCCCCCCCACTCCCACTGCTTGAGGACAGAAGTTCCAATCCTGAAGAAAACTGATCTGGATGACCAGATCTAGTCGGCCCTAGGCTCTATGCCCCTCACGTGTCTCTTCCCTCCGTCCCAGCCATTCCAGACCTCTCCAAGCAGAAGAAGCTTAAGGAAACCCTGTTATTGCAAAAACACATGTTCTCATTTTTCTTCTTAAGAAAATACATAAGAAAAGGAAAAGAAGAGATAAAGAAAAATGGCAGCAGGTCGTTTTGGCGCTCAAGAGCCCTTGTCATCCAAGTGGAATTCCATGCGGAGGCTAACACATAATGTTCCATGAAAAGTTAATCTTAGTTTCTTTCCTCTTAATATCAATTAAACGTAGTCATTTGAAGCCTAAACCACAACTCAGATACCTAGGAACTCCAGGTGTTCAATTAATGTGGGTATTTATACACCTGGAATCAGGCAGGCCTTCCATGGGAATCCCAGTCAAACTCCAAGAACTAGCAAACGCAATATTTAAAACAGTATTTTGGAGAGAATACTTAAAACACACAAGCCACTCAGAAAAGTCGAACTTTTAGGTTGCCTTTCTCCCTTCTTCCCCTGCACGGTCTGATATTCACTTTTTATCCCAAGAGCAATTTGGTCTAGGAGAGTTGGACCACCCTCGTCAGTTAAACAGTCTGTGTAACTCCCCTGAGAGTGTCACACGTAGGACTCACCAGAAATTCATCAGCAAACTCCTCTTTGTTAGTTTTCTTGTTTTGGGCCTCCTCCAGGAACTTGTGCAGAATTTCCCTTTGGTCCATGCTGCAGGACAAGAGAAACCGTCTACCAGCGGGTTACAGGAGGGCATGTCAAATGTATGTCATGGCCAAGATACCACCAAGAAGCCGCTGCTGTCGCTGGAGCAGAGCATGCTGAAGGCTGTGGTTAACTGACTTCATCACAAGCCCTAGAGGAAATTAGTACGCAACCAGCCTCTGTGGTCACACAACAAAGCCATCATCACTTCAGGGCCCTAGTGCCTTCCTTTTCAAGGAAGGAACCTGGTTACAACTCAAGTTGTAACAAACAAGGGGCTAACCAGAGCATCATACATGGTCTGATTAGCTCCGAGACTGTTCCACTCCATCATCTTTAAGCAAGATTCACCTTTTTTTCTGGTTCCCTAGGGAAAAGGCAGAATGCCAGGTCTCATGGATGGGGTCTGCCTCTCCCCATTGCCTCAGTGAACACAAAGGCCCTGTTGACACCTTCTCAGCCAAGTTCAGTTAGAGTCAGAGAGGGGGGCTCCAAACTTCACTGTTTGGGGTTAAGACATCTATCTGCCTGTACTATTCTCCCCAAAAGTGTCTTGTCCATGTGATCGGTGGCAAATTTCTGTTCATCAGAGAAGGCATTTTTATTCAGAAGTTTTAAGTCTGCCATATAGATCTCAAACTCTCTTTCGGATGAAGCAAAGTCAGCTGCTTCTGACAGTCTGTGTCTCTCCCAGGGCTGGGGAAGTGCCGACCTCGGTTAAGGGAAGTGTTGTCGATTTCAGGACTGAGTATTGGTCTATATGGGATCCAGGAGCACAGTGGCCCCCATGAGGAGCACCTGACCAGGAAGTTGGCACAACGTCCCCTGTATGCAATACTGGTTAACTATAAGGAACAGAAAAAGAGTAACATCAACCACCTTGCTGGCAACAGCATAACTTTCAGGGAGCAAAGCATGAACCGTGTCTAGAGAAGACATTTCTACTCTCCCAACTGGTGCCTTGGAAAAAGCCATTGCTTCAGGAAGCCATGCTGTGCGTGTGGCATTTTGGCCCTGTTTGACAGGCCGGCTGTTCTAGAAAAAGCTTCCACATCTCAGCTTGAATAAATCCTCTCCTCAGTGGGTACAAACCTACTTAAGACTGTCTCATCCAGAGTGAGTGCAGCCCCAACTCAGCATATCATCTCTGCTTGAGGACAGAAATTCCATAAATAATTGTTAACAAAATTAGTCTGAAATAATCCTGAAGAAAACTGGGAAATGTGCCATTAGAGCTTCCTCTATTTAAGATATTAGCAATCCTTTCTGTTTTGCATTATTCAAAGTCCCTTTAGGAAATCATGACTCCAAACACTATGAAGCCGCCTCCACTCTATTGAACCTCACAACAGGAAAGGAGTGGTCTTTGAGGGATTCTGCTTATAGGCAGGTGAAGCCAATAAAGAATTTCAATCCCGAGCCACACAATAAATTAAAATGAAGCAGAGCTCTTCAACAATATTTGTTGAGAATGGGATAGGATTTCTCCAATTAGCCCCATCTAGCATTAAAGGGGAATTTTTTTGTTGCGCTAATGCAATGTTTAATTTGGCTATTTTAAGGCATATAAAATATGGGGGGAAGCCTTTAAAAGCACAAAATCTAAAGTTCACAATAGCTCAAACCCTGTAAAAGTATGTACAAGGTTAGATGAAGACTAAGTGATGCAGAAAAGGATCAGTTGTGTAAGTGCTGGGATCAAGGGTGCTTTTTAAAAGTCTTATGCCCTTTTTTTAAGTTAGAAAAAAAGACATAAAGATCCATCAATTTGTTAAACATATGTATTGAGTACCAACTAAATGCTAAGCACTATGTTAGGGCTGGGGATGCAGTAGCGAACAAGCCAGAATATAGTGAAAAGAACCCTTAACCAGTTAATAAAGCATCTCAAGACTAAGACATAGATGTAATTACTAATTAAAATAAAAACATTCCAAACTAACTCGCTCGTTTGCAGAGTAGCAAAGCATAAACCGAAAAGGAAAATGATTTTCTGAGAGAGAGAATTTCATAAACTCCATGTCCCCTTAGAATGTAATCACTTCCAACCAAACCAGAACTTTATTAATTAATAAACAAAAAGAGACCTAATCAAATAAGATTTAAAGCTCTTTTTCTCAAGCTCATATTTCAAAACAATCTTTAACTTCAGTCTCTTCTTAGGGAGAGCTAAGACAGAGACAGATTATGAGGTAAAGAGAAACTCGCTGAGATGCCCTCTGTAGTCCTTTTACCCCAATACAAGAATCTAAAAATAGTGTCTTAGCACAACTGCAGATTTTTTTTTTAAAGCAAACAGCAATTCTTAGGAGTCTGTTCCATTCTAAAACCAAAAGAGACAGAAACATCGTGAAATAACCAAACCTCAAAAACCCACTAGCTGAAAGACCATTTCCTGAGTAGACCACTCAAGCGAGCAAAAAACAAAACTGAAGGAGAAAACAAAAAACTTCAGTTTTATTTTTAACAAATCTAAGCTGCTACTTAATTTTTCACACTTCCTTCTATGGATACTTACAGGTGTCTACAGACAATAAGAGCATTGTGCTTTTTGATAAAGATTCTGATGACTCATTTATATCTTGTGGGAAGATCAAGAGCCGGGGAGGGGAGACTATGTTATACAGCAGAGACTGGCAAGTACCTGAAAGAATTTATGAATTTGTGATGAAACATTGAAACCAGTCTGGCTCACACCCTGAGTGAACACGACAATTCCATGAGCGCTCGGTCAGAACCCTCAGGGCTGAGTTCTAGTGGAAAGTAAAAGTGAATGAGCACCCGAAGAAGAGCAAGGAAGGACCATCTCACTGCCGCTTCCTGGGGCTCTGCTGTGTGTTCTGAAGGACAAGGACAGCAGAGAGGAGGACCCGTCACATGGTCACCTGCACCAGCAAGAGGCAAGTGTGCCAGTGTAAAGGGAAACATCAGTGTCACGGAGGTTGGAATTAGATGACCAAAAAAAGCTTCAACCGAGGGGCGCCTGGGTGGCTCAGTCGGTTAAGCGTCTGCCTTCAGCTCAGGTCATGATCCCAGGGTCCTGGGATCGAGCCCCGCATCGGGCTTCCCGCTTGGCGGGAAGCCTGCTTCTCCCTCTCCCGCTTGTGTTCCCTCTCTCTCTCTCTCTCCCTCTCTCTCTGTCAATTAAATAAATAAAATCTTTAAAAACAAACAAACAAACAAACAAAAAAACTTCAACCGAAGGGAGTATCAGGGAAGATTATTAGGACATTGATTATTAGCTAATGGGAAATACACTCAGGTTTCTCAGCACATCCGTCTCTCTGTCTGAGGAGGCATGCTCTACCCTGGGGAAGCCACTGACCAATCTTCGCCTCAGTTTCACTATGCCTGCCTTTCTCTATCTCCCAGGGTCATTGATTTGACAGGGGCTCTAGGCGTTATCTGCGGGACCCTTGGTTCTTTGTGAGAGCATCCCCTGGGTCACCAAGGCCAGCCTGTCTTTTTCCTCAATGTCCTGTAGATTCAAGCAGCCTTTTCCATTCCCATGCTGACCACCATGCCCTTTTGCACACGTGGATTGCTGCAGCAATGGGCTCTTAGTTCTAATCCGTGCTAGCATCTCCTAGGAACCAAGGCTGGATGAATGTTCATAAAACTCCACTTTAATGCTCAAGACCCAAAAGTAGTTACCAATGGTCTACAGGAACACGCCCAGATTCCTCCGCCTGCCACCAAGCCCCTCCCCATGTGTCCCCACCCAAACTACCTAGCCACATCACCCACAGGCCTTGCACTTGCTACTGCCACCTCTTTTGCTACTTCTCACCTTTCCCCTAATTTTCGTCAAGACGAAAATAGAGCTGTAAAGCCTGGTCACTCTTTTCTTCAACAATCCTGCCCCTGACGCCGTCTCACCAATGAACTTCTCTTAGTCTGCCTCTTCTCGGAATGAAGTCTTTATATTCAGCCACAGAAGTTTTCTTTGTTTCTTCACGTGTTCCTTGTCTCCCATGAGTTTAAAAGAGTTTATTCAAAAGAAAACACATAAACGGCCCCCTGGAGTTTTAAGTTTATCAAAGGCAATGCTAATGTCTTCTATACGCATCTGGGTAACCCACAGTGCTTACCATGGTCTTAAGCACGCCTGAAATAAGCCTATCATGATAAAGGACGCTACATAAAGTGCTTGGGTGCTGGTGAGAGATCGACCCCGACTTGTTTACTCGCTACAGCAATGACTCCGGCTCTCCTGCCGGGCACTTTCACTGTGCCAGGAACAGACGGGCCTTCCCTACAGGGACGTCCAGGAACCTGGCAAAGAGCATCTGCCTGAGGGCTGCTGCCCAGCAGCGGAGCCATTGTTATGGAAGGAATGGGATGCAGAGTCCAATCCTGCAGGCTCGCCATGGCCTGGGGGCTGGGGTGGGGGGGGCGGGAATGACCTCCTTCCTCTTCAGAATAGACCCAGTTCCCCTTCTCTAAAAGGACACAAAAGAGGCTTATAAAACGCCTCTAACGAAGCTTGTTGCTTTGCTGGTGTTTTTACATCACCCACAGCAGGAAAGTCCCCTCCCCAGCTTCTGGTCACGATTCCTTCTGGTCACTACAGTATTCTGAGACCTCATCAAGCTCTTCAGTTCACCTGCTGTGAACTTCGTAGTCAGCACCCCACATTCCACAAGGAATTATGCTCCACCTTCGGTTTCAGAAACATAATCCTCAGGGAGCAAAAGTCAACTGATAATTTCCAATTGACACAATTTACCTTTCTTTTTTTTAACTCTTGGTGGGGCTTGGCATCTTGTTCAAAATATAATCAAACTTGCTTGGAGTCTTATCTTTCTTCTGATTGTTTATTCAGTATTGAGTCTGTTTGTTTATTCATTTAATGAATACTTACGAGATCCATATACATGCAAGAGAATGGGGACGAGGGGCGCTACAGATGTGTGCAACAAATTGTCTTCATTCAAGGATCTTTTATATACCCGTAAGGAAGGTAAGTACACAAATAACTATAATTTTTTTTTAAGATTTTATTTATTTATTTGACAGAGAGAGACACAGCGAGAGAGGGAACACAAGCAGGGGGAGTGGGAGAGGGAGAAGCAGGCTTCCCGCGGAGCAGAGAGCCCGATGCGGGACTCGATCCCAGGACCCTGGGATCACGACCTGAGCCGAAGGCAGAAGCCTAACGCCTGAGCCACCCGGGCGCCCCCACAGATAACTATAGTTTAAGGCCATTCGTGGTAAGGCCGTAAACGTTATGCGCACAAAATTTTGAGAAGGCAAAGATCACTTTGTGCTTGGGTTATCTGGATAGCCTTCCTGGAGGAAGCGGCATTTAAGCTGGGCCTTGAATATGTCAAAGAGCCTGAGGAGAAGCGATATGAAAGAGAAAGAGAACAGTAGGAGTTGGGTGGTTTAGTGAGTGGCTCAGTCTGACTGGACCCTTGGTTCTGTAGAGTCCTGATTGATAAGGCTAGAAAGGGTAGTTGGAGACGGACCCTTGGGGGAATTTGAATACCAGGCTGAAAAGTCAGGCTTTATTTGATGGGCAGTGGAAAACCAGTAAAGGTTTTTTGTTTTTTTTTAATAACAACTTTATTGAGATACTATTGACATACAATAACCTGCATACTTCAAAGTGCGTGGTTTGATAAGTTTGAAATGTGTACACAGCCATGAAACCATCACCACAATCAAGATAAGGAACATATCTGATCACCTTCAAAAGTTCCACTGGAAAATCTTAAAAGAATGGCAGGCAAAGCAATGTTTCTCGATTTTTTTTTTTTTTTTAAGAAATGGCCCCTTCTGATAAATTTTTTGAAAGTCTCATCATCTCCTTCAGTAGTATGTAAAATTTCAAAATGAATTATGCCATATCCAGAAATGAATCAAAAATAGCCAAGGAAACCACAGCTTTGGTCAATCTGGTGGCAGTATATCGGATGGACTGGAATGGGGCAAGCCTGGAACAGGATGATCAATTAACAGCCTGACTGAGAGGCTTTACCAAAAGTCCAGGCAGAGAATTGGGACAAGAGGAATAGATGAGAAAGACTAACTGTGTGTGTGCAAGACTGGAACGAGGGAACAGGGAGGAATGACTAAGGTTTTGAGCTAGCTGGATGGCAGTCTGGGAAAGTACAGGAATAAGAACGGTACATGGAAATGAAGAACTAGAGCTTGGGATGTGGATTTAGGAAGAAGGGAGATAAGCCAGACTTGGGAATCACCCACATCGAGGCGAGAGGTAGAGCCAGAAGGTTGGCTTGCCTTTGTGAGAGACGGTGTCAGTGGAGAGAAAAAAGTCAAGGTAGAACTGTATGAACACCGAATCACAGCAGTCCCGAACTGTTAATGGTGCAGGGCTTAAAATATTCCAAAAACTGGGCTAAACCCTTTACACAGTGTGTTGTTTCATTTCTCCTTCGCCACAATCCCACGAATTAGTAACCAAATCATCTCTATTTTAAGACGTGGAAACTAAGGCACAAAGGAATTGGATTACTGGCCCAGTGTCACATGATTAGTCTATGATGAAACCAAATTGTTAAAATCAGACGATCTGAAGGTATTCTTAATCTCTGGGCTACCCGTGTCTTCCTTCCGCAACCCCAGCACTCCAGCTCTCCTAGGAAAGGGCGGCCTAGCAACAAACACAAGCCAGAGCTGTTTTTCCCATTTACTTAGCATAACCCCCAGGGGCACCATATCCTCAATCTCAAGACACTGCCGTATACTTGGAGCCAGATTCATATTCTGATGTTTCATTGGCAGTATCGGATAAAACAGGCAGCTTCTCTAGCTAAGTGGAAAAAGAAAAGACAAAGAGGAGGCTGCTGGCCTCTGACATTTATCATTTACTTTGTCAGCTTATTGAGCTATAACAGACATATAACTTTGTATAAGTTTAAGGCATACAATGTAATGATTTGCTATATGTGTATATTTCAAAATGATTACCACAGTAAGGTTAGTTACACATCTATCACCTCCCCTCCCTAAAAAATGTGTTTTGGAATACATTGTTCAAACATGGTAGCAAATAAAGCTAATTCCTACCTAAGAGAAACATGAAATCTCATTTGGGATACTAAACTATTGTGATTTATCCATGAATAGAGGAAATAGCATAACTTAAAAAGTGAAAATATAGTAGCAGCGCTACATCTTTACTTCTGTGCATTTAGGGGAAACAGATAGCTGGCTGGCTGAAGGGAGGGGATGTGGTTACACTTGAGCCAAACTGTAACCAAACCATTAAGGCCTCTCTTCAAAAATAGATATAGCAATGCTTTTCTTCTTGACAGTCAGGTAAGTAGTCTAGCCTTGGGGCTTATGAATGTTAAGAGTCTCTGCTTGATGAGCGCCTACTAATCTATGAGATTATGAAGGATTATTACAAGATACACATGCCATAGATACCGTAGGCTTTACTTCCAGTCACTTATGGTAGGGGCCAGGGAAATGTATACCCTCTACTGACTGACCACCCAGGCGTCCCAGGGTTTTCTTTTTTTTTTTTTTTAAGATTTATTTATTTATTTGAGAGAGA